TCTTACCTGTAACTAGGACCAGTGGGCTCCCATCCTCAGAGATTAAGAACAATGTTGGCTCAGGACTCCCAAGACCAAGTTCTCAGCACAAAAGAGATTCATTTGTCACAGAAGGTCAAAGGACAGGGAGTAAAATACAGACACAGGAGACTAGATGGAGGGAGGAGGGGAAGGGAATAAAGGAGAAGCGTAAAAGTTATTTGTCCCTGAAGGAGACAAAAGGTCTACCTCTGCATAGAGAGGAGGCACATGTGTCTCATAGGCAAATGGCAGTTTATAAAGGCGAACAGGGAAACCCTGTGTAAGGATGAGGTGTTTAATTTTATTTGGGCATGTTAGTTAGGGGAGCAAAAATGGGCTTTTGATTGTTGGATGTCAAGTCTTTGATAACTAGGCATTGGTAGGTGATCTCAGGAAGAGGAAGTCTTAAATAAACAGATAGACCTTGGTGGCTAGCTCTAGGAATACAATCTAATGGAGTTTTTTAATGTTGTTTGTTTGTTTTTAGCAAGGCAGAGGGAATGGAGGAGAAGGGCAAGGCCTGCCAGCACCATGTTTGCCACCTTGGGATGGTTAGCTTCCCTCCACAGCCCATGTCACCTGTTGACAACTTCTTTTTGCAAGATGCCAGCAACAGCTTTCCTCTGTGAAGTACTGAAGCACACAGAAGCAGACTAAATTCTGAGCTAATGTTGGGCACTGAGTGTTTTCTACACAGAGTCAGGGTGTGTATTTTAGGAGCGTGGGAGGGCACATCTCTCCACATGCTCACATTCATCTTCAGGACACAATGTAGGTGTGGGAGTTTCGTGGTTTCTTGTGGGTGAAGCCACTACTACTGATTCATGGACTAGGTTGCCAGTGCTGATTCATGTTGGTGTTTTGCTAATGGACTCAACTGCTGACAATGGAGATTGGAATCGCCTCAAAGAACTACTTTTAACCAGGTTCACAACCCAATTGTCATATTAGTCATCTTCCTCCCCTACCTTTGCTCAGTGGCCTATAAGGAAGGGTGAAGCACTTAGGGACCTTTATTAAAATAGGCTTTGAAAAATCTAAGCCTACAAGTCCTCTCCAATATCCAGTGTACTTTCGTGGCTGTGTTATCTGTCTCATTGACATTTAAAAATTTAAAGTCAATAAAGTATTATTCAATCTAAATCGGTAGATCTTATATTTCTCTTTTGTTCTATGAGCATTTTCTTTAAAGTCTTGTTAGATCTCACCATAATTGTTTGTCTTGTAGGATTGCAATTTATGCTTGGAACATGTTCTATGTCATAATGTCTAAAAAATTGTTGTATTCTAATGGATACATTTGCTGAAGCATTTTGACCTTCAATCTGTAAAGGAATCTCCAAGAATGCCGTCATCTCTAATAATTTGATGATCTCAGAATCATCTTTTTCAGAAGTCCATTGAAAATCTGATTATGTATCAATAGTATGGTCTATCAACATATGTCCATATTCTAGATTTTCAAATTCTACAAATTGGAACACATATGCCACTGTTTGACATTATTCTGAGGTAGCATCATTACATAGAATTTGGATGCTTAATTCAGAATATTGTATCCCTACTGGTTGGTTGCCATTCTTATCTTTAAGCATTTGTGGTTTTTTTTCATCTGGAATTACTTTTGTGTTGTTATTGTTGGTACCTGATTGAAAATTTTCAAGGTCCTTTGTTTTGATTTTTAGAATCCTCCAACATCTGTTCTATGGACAGTAATATTTTAGTTTTTTTATTTTTTACTATCTAAGTCTGTTTTATTTTGATGTTTCTTAAAGAGCACATATATAATTGGAATTATTATTGAATATATTTTTTTGTTGTCATCCAAAGCAAAACTATTTGGGGACCAAATGTTCTTTTCTGTAGAACATTACATTTTTATGATCAATTTTTAAAAAATATCTCTAATATTCCCCCTTTCTTTGGAGACTTCATTTTTTCTGTATTTCTCTTTCCTTTTTCTGAAGATCCTATTTTATTTTTCTTTATTGTTCCTTTCTTTGGAGTCTCTAACGCATTTTTCTTTCTTTTTCCCTCAGAGAATTTTCCTTGTCTTTCATTTCTATGGAGACGTCATCTTAATTTTTTTCCTATCTCCTTTTAAAAGAGATTCTATTGTGTTTTTCTCTTTCTTTCTTTCTTTTTTTTTTTTTTGAGACTTCATCTCGTGTTTTCTCTCTCCTTTCTCTAGAAACATTTTCCTTTTTTGGGAGACATTTTCTTCTATGTGTATTCATTTATTTCTCTCTGAATGATTTCTAAACTTAATTTTGTATTTAATTTTCTCTAAATTTTTTTTCCTCTGGGGACTTGCTTTTAATAATGCTCTTAATATTTTCTAAAGTTAATGTCTTTTTCTGTCTTTATTTTTTTCTAGATTTTTTTCCATTTGCATAAGGCTTATTCCTTTCAATTTATTTAATTCTGTCTTAAAGGACTTCATTTTATAAAACTCAAACTATTTATATCATCTATTTATGATGTTTTACATTCAATCTTTCCCCTTCTTAATCCCTAAAGTGTAACTTCAAACATTGTAGTGTATTCATTTTTTATTCACTTTACACACTAATCCCACACCCTCCCTCTTCTTTTCTCATTTAAAAATCCCTCCTCCCAATGCCCCCTCCCTTTCTCCTCAGAGAAAGGGAGGCCTCCTTGGGCACCACCCCCCCTGAAACATCTAGTTTCAACAGAATTAGGCACATTCTCTCCTGCTGAAGCCCAACCAGGCAGTCCAGATAGAGGGAAGAAAGGGATCCAATGGCAGGGAATAGAAGCTTAGACATTTCCTGCTCTATTTATTAGGGGAAACTTGAAACTTTTTTTTTTTTACATTATCAGAAATTCTGCTCTCTATCTGTTTGGTTTCTTCTTCCTGCACCATGACTAGCCTGGCCTCTGTCTTTTCTCTCTCAGGGAAGAGGTGTTTCTGCCTTCTACATGTAACTGGGAGCTGCCTCACTGGATCTGGACCATTCTCCAACCCTGGAAGGTTGCTGGGCCTACAGGTGCTGGGTCATCAGGCCACAAGGTGTCTGGCTAACATGAGCCCTCTCAGGTAGGCTTTTGTCCTGAGAGAGCAGCTCCACCAGCTGGGTTGGCTCACAGGCCTCCCTTGCTCTCCCTTTCAGGGATGGAGCCTCTTGCTTGGCTAGGAAACTGAGTCCACCTTTATGCACTGAGGCTATAGTTGAAGAGCTGGTTTTTCTACACAGCCAGGGCTTCTTAAAAGAGCTACCTTCAAACAACCTCTCTGGAGTTCTTCCCTTCTTCCCTGCAGGTGGCCTTGTTGCACCATGGTGGGTAGGTGGTAGCTTTTCAAGTAAGTTCTTGCCTGACATTCAGTGGGCCCAGTGGAAATGTAAGCTTTCCCACCTGGCCTCTTTACTTTCAGAAATAATGACAAAGACTCACTAAAGATGAATAAATACCTAGGTCAAAATCTTGGGATTGTTTTTCAACTAGCTCATAATTGAATTTTTCCACTGATTTTGTTCTTGGTCCTGCCATGTGACTAGTTACCTATGCCCAGTTTCATGCATTTGTCTTCCTCAGTGTTATGACAAAAATCTCTCATTAGCTCTCTGTTTCTCAGAATTTCATTCTTTTCTACTGAAACTCCAGTTCATTACTTCTTGCTTTTTGATGATAGGCCAACAGCATTTTATTGACATGTGATGTTTCCATGCATTGCACAAGAGACTCTCTCTATAGTACGAGGCTTTGAATATGTCAGACGACCTCTTCTACTGGAAATGCAACTGTTTTACTAACTGAAGTTCTTAAAGATAAAAATAAACCACCATCACCACCACCACCACCACCACCAACAATAAACCCCTGTCATTCCTTAGGAAAGAGAGAAGAGAGATTTTTTTTTTTGTTTGGACAGAAGCTGAAATACCAACTCTTCCAAAGTTTTCCAGGCTGCAAGGCTTCCCTGTAGATACTGTGTTTGCAATCTCAAAACTGAGTGGGCAAATGAAAGACAGAAGAAGGGAGAGAAGTAAAGACAGAAGAGGGGAGAAGAGTGAGGAGGAAGAAGAGGAAAAGCAGGAGAAATATCTAGAGAAGAAAGAGGAAGAGAGGAGAAGGAAGTTGAGGGAGAGACTAAAGACTCTTTTGGTGTTCATCAGGAGACAAGATTTTAAGACGTCGTTGAGCCTTTATCATGCCACAAAAAATGACAATTTAATTTGAAGCCGTGTTGCCTACAACCCAATTTCCAACCTATCCTGTTGACTGCTGAAGGATATGGAATAAAATGTCTGTGTCTGCACTGATCTCCAGATGTGTCTACTTATCCATGCATTACCCAGCTCTTCCTGGAGGGAGCAAGGACCATGGTCATCATTCCATCTGCTGTGTGGCTACCATGTCTAAGGAGAAACTAACTCAAGTGAAGATGTGTGCTGGGATCCACAACCTGCACTTCCTGAACCCTAAAAGAAATTCAGGACAGGATTATAGCAATAATCCCTTCTGCACTATGTCAAAGAATCAACAGTCAACAAAGAGCTGAATGGCCAACAAAGGCATGAGAAAACAAGAAAACAGGTGGGATAACACACACACACACACACACACACACACACACAGAGACAGAGACAGAGACAGACAGACAGACAGACAGAGAGAGACAGACAGAGAGACAGAGAGAGGGAGAGGGAGAAGGAGAGGGGGAGGGAGAGGGAGAGGGAGGGAGAGAGAGGAACTCTGGGAAAGAGTCAGGCTGAAGAGATTCACCTACAAGTTGTTGTGGAGGAAGTTGAATGTATGAAACTGAGAAGAGGCAACCAGCCCCGTTTCAGACACAGAATAATATAAAAGGTTAACTTAGTTATACAATAAGCTTAGCTAAGGTATAGCCATTAAAGCATAAATAAATGAACTTCTGTGTTCTATGTTCATTATTCTGGAACTGAGGCAGGCATAGAAAGTCACAAATGGTTACACAGTCTACTAACCTCTTCATCTTAAGAGTGTGGCACTATTAATTAGACAAAGATATTGCAAGTCATATACAACCATATATGTTCATAATGATACGTTAATGGAAGACAATTCTTATTCTGTGGGCGACTCTTTTTCCACATGCCACTCTGATATTCTGTCTCTGAAAGACATGAATCCTCCATTCGTTCCCAGGAAATTTTTGTTGCTTAAAAGCAGGCTTTAAGTCAGTGCCTGAAGTCAGTCCAAAGGCTAGTACCTCACAGTTCCATTCCTGTTTCCCATTATTCATGGAAGTCAGACATGCAGGATTCTCGCTTCCTTAATAAAAATGCTTCCTTACTAAGGAGAGACTTGGCATCACTTGCCACAGTATCAATAAAGAGACTTTTCCAGTAGTAAGTCTTTCTAAAGTAAAGGCCTGAGGCAAGTGGTCCCCCAGTAACATAGGAAATAGATTCAATATATTTCAACAGTTTATCTTTGAAGGACATGTCTTTGTCCTCTGTTAACACATGGAGACACTTAAGGTGTGCCTTGATTTCATTCATAGACACTTTGAAATCCTTGGCAATATTTTTTAGTGAGGCTTCATCCAGTCCCAAGTAAGACCTGTAGAGATTCAAGGTCTCCTCCAACTTCTGTATTTCATTTCTGATGAAACCCCCAAGTGGAATAGTGGCAAATATTCCATCCTTCAGGGACTCCAGCCTGATCTTCTGTCTGAGGAAATCCCTCTTCCGGTCAATGGCAGTCTCAGTAACACTGTGCAAGGACATCATGAAGATGTGGCGCTTGTGGGCTGGGAGCTCCCTCAGTAGGGTGGTCTCCAGCGTTGGGAAGTCAAAGTCAGACACATCAAAGTTAGAGACTAAGAAGAGAGGAGGTTGACTGGAAAGAGCTTCCTGAAGCTTCTCTGAACAGTCATCTCTAATTTTCTTTAAGACACTGTCGCTATTGAAAGACTTAGGTTTACTCCTCTGTTCATTACTGACATCTTGATCGACCTTGGTTCGGACAAAGTAGAACTTTGTGTTCATCTTTTCAATGGCTTTGGCCAGATTTGCATCAATTTCTTTGAAGCGTGTAGCCGAGATAATAATGAAGAAGTCATACTCACCAAACTTCATTTCTGTTAGGTAGGTTTTTGGTGGGAAATTAGTGGTCCCAATGCCAGGCAAGTCCCATATTGTCATGTTGGGAAGCTTTGGGTGTGGGTATGGAGTTCTCTCCATGGTTGTCTCTACCACCCCAGTGGGGGCTGCACCTCCTTCTTCTTCCCTCACTCCCCTCAGGGCATTGATAAAGCTGGATTTCCCTGTCCCTGTTTCTCCAGTCACAGCAATGTTGAGTGGGGCTTTGTCAATGTTTCTCAGAGCCCGACTAATTTCACACATTGCTTCCGGAAGGTTCTTATTCTCCAGATGGGATTCAATCAAGTTGATGGTTTCCTCAGAGAGAATTTTGCTTTCCAACTTGAAATTCTTAAAAAAATTTTCAATGTTGAATGCCAAACATTGAGCAGTTAAAGGAGAAGGGCTGCTAGAGGAAGACTTGCATGTAGCTGTATACCATGGAGGTTGCTTAAAGGAGAAGAAATAAGAGACACTGTAATTATTAGTACAGCAGGGCAAGGGTTAGGCGTTTGTTCTTATGGTATAGAGGGACCTCAGCTGCTGATACCATTATAAGCAGAACACCTTTCTTTCTGCTCCTCGATGCTGGCTACATTTCTGCTCTGCATGTCACATGCCCTCATTCAGTTCTTACCTTCTGTGCTTTACCTCCTTTTTTGTTGTCCCATTCATGACCAACTTATTCCATGTGGTTTCCTACACTAGTTTTTATTCTTATTTTAAGTTGTCTTTTCATTCTGTTTACTCCTATTACAATTAATACCCTTAGGCTATAAAATTCTTAGGGCTTAGATCATGATATCAAAACCTCAAGCAACATATCTCATGGAAAGGCTCCCTGTCTCTTTTGAGTGCTTAGGGCATTGCTTCCTAGGCCTCATGGCCTCTGGTCCCTTAGCATAGCTGTTCTAGTTTCTCCTGTGTAGTCTGTGAATTTAGGGAGAAAGGGCATGAGGTGAGGATCAGAAAAGATTCTTCATATGTCCACCAGAGGGTTGGATACATTACTCTATATGTGTAATCAACTTCTCTTTAGCCATAAAGAAGATTGAAATTATGTCTTCAGAGGAAATTGGATGTAACTTTCGGTAGTCATATTAAACAATAAAGCCAGTCTCAGAAGACAAATACAATTTCTCATTCTCAGAGCTTAGGCTTTGAATAGATACATAAGTTATGTTGTAGATATGACATGGAAGTGGAAGTGAACCTGTCTGGGGTACAAAAGAAATCAGGGCGAATTCATAACATGCAAGGTGTGCTTGTTTGAACCTTCATATCTAGATGTTGAAAGATTTATTTGAAGGAGATATGTATCCATGTTATTTCTTATTTCTCAGCAGGGGAGGTATGGGATCACATCATAGTAAGCAGTTTCTTAAGATATTCCCTGTGTGTCTCTATTTTCTAGTGTTCAGTCCACAAACCTCAAGGAAACAATCCAGAAAAATGAAAATCCTAAACAGATACAGTGGAAAGCCAGTAAGAAAGAAAGAAATGTAAAGAGATGTTAAAGAACCCACTTAAAAAAAAAACAACTTTTTTTTAAAAGTTAAGAAACCCGACTAAGAAAGTAGTCCAATCAAAGCCTTTCTCTGAAGAGGCATAAGTTCTTAAGGCAGTTGAAACAAGATAAAGCTCAGATGTGTCTCCTACAGAAATCCATATATTGCATAAATGTCTATAGATTACATATTTTGGACTTTAGGTCACATACATTTTTGTATGATATTCCTAGTTTATTATAATTTAGAAGGACATGAAAACTATGTACATTTCATGAATTGTAGAAAATCAGACTTCATGGTTGCTACGACTATAGATCAAAGTTTATGCTTAATGACACTAAAAGTATCAGAACTTTTGGATGACAGGTATAAATCACAGCCATATCATTTTCTTTTGGTGTTTCAGACACACAGATGTCTTTGGAATTAGAGTTGGAACATAGAGTAAATGCAGGAAGTCATGACAGATTGCCTTCACTTAACACTGATACTCTGGTGTTAATAATGTGGTATGAAGATTTCAATACAGAAGCACTAAGTACACAGAATTCTATTCTTGAGTCAGCTAGTCATCTTGTTGGAGGTCATGTTACCAGTGAAAGTAAGGTAAAGGAGGACATCAGTATACATCCTGCTGTCAGTAGCAATAATATATTAAGATATCACAAGTCTCAGGGTAATTATTTGAGAACTCCTATGGGATGTGACATACATGTGTGCAGACCCACAGGCGTGTAGTATGAGTTCCAGAGGTCTATCTATTTCTGCCTCTCTGGTGCTAGGATGCCAACAAGTGATTTACTAGTAAAAGCCTTATTTAGAAACTGCTGGTATTGTATCTACAGTAATGAACATAAATTTACGAACAGTATATCATTTATACTCTACTATTTTTGTCACAGTTGCTTGCAGTGTATGCTCATCCCAGTCTTCTATGACCATCTGAAAGTATGATTCTTAACAATTCTGACATGGAATAGACTGAGCCAAAACTCACTAGACGCCACCAGAATAGTGATAGGGCATCTACACTGTGATGACTAGCTGTAAATAAACCTAATATTACATATCAACCCAACTTCTTTTTTTAAAAAAATAATTTATTTTTTCTCAAATCATAATTAATTCACACAGGGGTTATAAACACAGAAAGGCAGGATGTGGGGAAGGGAATGACACTGGAGTGTGGGTGTTCAGGGGGAATAAAGATATCTTTCAGAACCGGGTATCGGCTGGGTGAAGGTTCAGGGGACAAGTCACTATGACTCTGCCTATGACTCACTTGTCCTTATCTATGTTGGTATTGTCTGCCAAGGCTACCTATTTACAAGGTCTATGACTACTCAGGCTGGTAAATTGTCACAAAAACTGCCTGTTTACATTAGCTTATAGCCATCTGTTTCAATGTTTTTCCACTGAGACCCAAGACTTGGTGTTAGTATACATGTCTGACAGGCCTATTGCTGATTTTAGGCCTTCAGTGTGTAAGCAGGGCTGCCTCTGACATCTCCTCCCTTCTCTAAGTATAGAAGGGCTGTGGCAATTCTAATCTTGCGAAGGCAGGGATAGAGGCCTGACCTCCAGTACTTGAAGGGGACCTTGTAATGGCTCCAGTCCCCGTGTCATTGTCCAGTGAGGCATGAGGGCCATACGCATCCCGATGTCTTTTTCCTGGAGAGGGGACACTTTTGACATCAACCTCTATGCAATCAGGCTTGTCCCTCAGGGAACCCATATAGATATTTTTATCTTTTATTTATATTCCCTTGTAGTGCTTAGCCTCGCAGCCTAAGCTAGAATTCAGATCGCCTGTCAGAGGGGTTTCTGGGTGGCCCCTCTCTTCTTGGTCTAAGGGCAGAAGTCTCCCCTTTTAGGTTGGATGGAGATGGGTTTTGGAAACACCCTGTATAAAGTAACAACCTCATCTTGAGTCTTGTGGTCCTCCGTAGCTAACTTATGATAATGTATCTGAGTAGGTTTTGCTACCAAATTATTTATCTGTTGTATCACAGAGTTAGTCCACCTATTTGAGGGTCAGGGACCAGCAGAAATAAGCAAATAGAACCCAAATAATGTTCCCAAGATGGGAGGAAATAGGATTGACAAACTTGCAGAACAACCCAACTTCTTAAGACTCATTTTTCTGGAGATTATTCTTAATAAGGACATCCTATATAAGTGGTAGATACTTCCATTGAGAAGTACAAATTGCTACACAGAACACTAAACTATTCAAATAGCCAATGCAAAAATGTGCACAAAGGATCATAATATCTAATAAAAGATTCTGAGGAGGGCTGGAAAGATGGCTCAGCAGTTGAGAGGACTGGCTACTCTTCCAGAGGTCCTAAGTTCAATTCCCAGCAACCATATGCTGGCTCACAACACTCTGTAATGAGATGTGATTCTCTGTTTTGAGTGTATATGAAGACTTATATACATAATCTATGAATGAATATTTAAAAAGATAAAGAAACTGTGGTAGATTAAATTCCTGTCAAATACTTCATGAATAATGAAAAAATCTCAATCACATGATAGATGAGAAATGTTTAAGGAGGAAATGTATCTGATGAGTAACAGAGTATGTGTGACAAGAACATGAAGTAGGGACTCTTGAGGGTAAATGGGAACTAGCTAGATGTGGGGGAGCATGGTAGAGGGCAGTTTGTAAAGGAAAGAATGAGAACAGATAAGAATGAATTACAATGTATAATGGCATACATACATGGAAGTGCCATAGTGAAACTCACTGTTTTGTACTTGCACCAAAAATGTAATGAAATACAATAAACCTCAATGAGATCCAAGAAAATACTGATGAATGAAATTAAAATGAAAACATAAGATTTGCATGAGAAATTCACAAATGTAAGATTTAGAAAAAAATCCTAAATATTTTACAATGGACACAATACACACATACCAGATAAGCAGGCAGATTAAGAAGGTAGGAAGAAAGGAAGTTAGAAAACAAGCAAGGAAGGAAGCAATCAAGATTCAATAAGTAACCAAGAAAGTGAGATGCTCCAAAGCAGTAATGAAAGAAATCTCAAAGAAGACAAGAGAAAATGTTAAGATTCCCATGTTTATAGTTTATAAACATTAGTATTGTCAAAGTGTCTGTACTTCACAAATTTATCTATAGACTCAATGCAATCTCAACTAAAACATCAATGCCATGTAGAGTAGAACTGGACTGTGGAATCCAAAACTCACATGGGAATACAGAAGACTGCAAATAGCCAAAACAATATTGATCAAAACCATCAAGCTAGGAGTCACTGTAATACCTGATTTCAAGGTATAGCAGATAGCAGAGTAACAAAAACAGCCCAATAGTGGTGTGATAACAGGCCTATAGACCAACAAACTGATAGGCAGAGCATAGCCATAACCATGCAGCCTACAGAATGTTTCTACAGTCAATCAATATCTCAGCAAGGCTTCCAAATACGCACAGTGCATAAAGGGTACATGGTTTGAAGAATGGAACTGGGAAAATTGGACATCTGGGAAGTCTCATCCTTCACCCTCACACTTCACCCTACACAAAAACAAACACTAAATGGGCCAAAGACCTTAATATAAGATGGAAACCTTGACGCTCTTAAAAAGAAATGGGTATGAAATACTTCATCAGATTTTCCCACATGGGGTCCATAAAGCATAGGAATCAAAAGTAAATTGCCAAATAGCATTCCATATAACTGAAATACTTCTTAATTACAAAGGAAATAAACACCACAGTAATGAGATATTTTACAATGAAAAGCCTTAGAACTGCATCATGTAACAGTCTAAACCAGAGAGACCCCAGCATGTCAACAGGTGCAGAAAATGAATATGACAAAATTCATCAGAGTCACTTTGAAACATCTCAATGAAGTGAAATAGAAAGGTGCTTTCTGGAATAACTGTGGAAACACTAATTTTTCCCAGGAATTCCTCCCAACTATGAGAGTAGTTTGAGTTGAATGAGCTCACCTTTGCTGTCAAAAGCTCTTCATTACTCAGGATAATTTTAACATCGCTTGCAACTGTGTCAATGAAATAATTTTGCAAGTGGTAAAACTTTGAAGAATAAGGATGTCTAATGTAGTTCAGTAGTTTATCTGTTGTGGATGTACCAGGCTCATCTGAGAACAAATGTGGAGACTTAATGTTTGCCTTGAGTGCCTCAAGTGTAATGTTCAAATCCTTAGCTATGTTTTCCAGTGATGCCTCATCCAGGCCAAAGGAAGATCTATAGTCATTCAAAGCCTGTTCCAACATCTCTAGGTCCTTTTGCATCAGTCCTCTGAATGGTATGGTAGCCCATGCTCTTGGCATTCTGGATTCCTTCAAGATCTTTTGTTTCAGCATATCCCTCTTCTGATCTATGGTGGAATTAGTAACAATTGGCAAAGTGACCATGAACCTGTGGCGTTTGTAGGCTGGGAGCTCTCTCAGAAGGGTGGTCTCCAGCTTTGGGAAGTCAAGGTCAGACACATCAGTATTAGAGACTAGGAAGACTGGAGGCTCCTGGTGTGTCACTTGCTTCAGTATACTTGAAATGTTATTTCGTATCATCTTTAATGTGTTCTCTTTATTGAATCTCCTAGGGTTAATCACTTTTTCCACCTCAAGATCAATATCTGTATGGGTTAGAACAAAATAGAAACTCTTATTCATTTGCATAATGACTTTGGCAATTTCTCTGTCACTAAATTTAAGGCGGCCCGAAGAGACAATAATGAAGAAGTCATACTCCTCAATGTTCATTTTCTTCAAATACTCATTTGAATGAAAGTCACAAAATGAAATACCAGGCATGTCCCATAGTGTCACACTGGGACACTTTGCATATGTGTATGGTGTTCTCTCAGTGGTTGTACATATCACCCCAGTAGCAGCTGCACCTTCTTCATCAGCCCCTACTCCCTGTAGAGCATTGATGAGACTGGACTTTCCAGCCCCAGTATCCCCTATCACTGCAATGTTCACTGGTGCTTTCTTAATGTCACTCAGAGCATTGCTGATGACAGAAACTGTTTCCTGAAGGTTTCCAGACTCTAGGGATGATTCAATGATGGCAATTAATTCCCGAGACAGGATATTGTTTTTCATCTTGAAATTCTGAAGATTATTGCCAAAGCTGGAGGTCAAATCAGGATCATTTTTTGGAGAGGGTGTAGAAGAGGAAGTCTGACCCATGACTGGGAAATGTGGATGATACCTAAGGGAGGAAAGAACCAGGAAGGTCAACAAATTAGTTCAGCAAGAACAACCATTGGAAGAGCAGGGCCTAGCATCTGCCCCCACATTATAAGTAGGCACGTCTTTCCTTTCAATCAAATGTACAGGGCTAAATAGAACTTACTCCTGGGTTTAGCTTTAAAGTTTGGCTTTGCTCACACTCCTTAACCTTTGACTATTTTCTTCTTTACAGTGTTTTTAGTTCTTCAAGATCAAATTCAAGTCTGTAACAGCAGCATTAAGGAGGTTGTGCAATGAATCACAAGTTCGAGCTCAGCCTGAGCTGATACCAAGATGTTGTGTGGAAAAGAATTTACCCTAGTTCCAAGCTCTGTCAGTCTCTCCAAATAAGGTCATATTATGACATGCAAAGTGACTTTCAGGTTTTCAGTTTTACTTCAATAATTGACAAGAATGGTAGCAAATTCATTTGGAGAGCACAGCTCATGATCAAAAGGAGTAGTATTATGGATGTGTGAGACTCTTTATCTACCTTTCTTGGGTTTCCTGTCACTTTGATATCTATGAAAGTCCTTTCACTCTTTGATGCTGAAAACCCTTTGCTTTGGCAATTCAAACCTTGTGGTTGTTGTGGATGTAGATTCTGGTGGGGAAGGTGCTACTATTGTTTTGCCAAATTGGCATGATATGTCCATTGATTTGGGAAAAGTCAAAGATAATATAAGGTTCTCTCCATATGAGAACCTAAAGTTTTGCTCTGAGAACTCTTAGAATCATTTCAGCAAAGTGACTGAAGTCAAAATTCACATTCAAATCTTGATCACCTTCACCTATATTAATGACGCATATAGTAAAGAAGAAACAGGAAATCAATCTCATTAGTACTACTAGCCGTCATCTTCTCCACAATAACATACCTTGGATTAAACCTAACCAAGGAGGGAAAAGCCCTCTATAATGAAGACTTTAAAAGCTTGAAAATTCCATTCCTCTCTTGAAGGACATCTGGGTTCTTTAGAGGAGTGAATAAGGAAAATGTGGTACATTTACACAATGGAGTTCTACTCGGCTATTAAAAACAATGAATTCATGAAATTTTTTGGCAAATGGATGGTACTAGAAAATATCATCCTGAGGGAGGTAACCCAGTCACAGAAGAACACACATGGTATGCACTCACTGAGAAGTGGATAAAAGCTCAGAATACCCAAGATATACCTCATGGGCCACATGAAGCTCAAGAAGATGGAAGACCAAAATGTTGTTGCTTTGGTTCGAAGGTGCACAAAATACTCACAGGAGCAAATATAGAGATGAAGTTTGGAGCAGAGACTGGAGGAGGGGCTGTCTGGAGACTGCCCTACATCAGGATCCATCCCATGTGCTGTCTACAAATACAGACACTGTTGTGGATGCCAGGAAGGCTTTGTCAGAACCTGACACATACAGAGGTGGATGCTCGTAGCTAACCATTGAACTGATCTTGGGGTCCCCAATGGAAGAGGCAGATAGAAGACTGAAGGAGCTGAAGGGGCTTATGGCCCCATGGGAAGAGCCACAAGATCAACAACCAGAGCTCCCAGGATTGAAACCGCCAGCCTGGGAACATGCATGGAAGGACTCATAGCTCCAGCTGTATATATAGGGGAAGGTGGTCTTGTTAGGCATTGGTAGGAGAGGAGGTCCTTGGTCCTGTGAAGGCAGGATGCCCCAGTGTGGGGGAATTCCAGGGCAATGATGGGGAAGTGGGTGGATTGGTGGGGTCACACTCTCATAGAAGCAGGAAGAAGGGAGATGGGATAGGTAGTTACTGGGAGTGGGGAATGGGTATAGGGGATAACATCTGAAATGTAAATAAGTAGAACATCCAAATTAAAAAAAAATGTTCATATAACTAAAAAAATAAACTTCAGAAAAAAATCAGAACACATACACACATACACACACACACACACACACACACCCCTACCTACTACTCATTCTAAAGGATTAGAAGAATTCAAATTATAAAAATGGCTGGCTTAAGAAAATTAATCTAGGGGACTGGAAAGATGGTTCAGTGGATAGGAGCACTGACTGCTCCTCCAGAGGTCCTGAGTTCAATTTCCAGCAACCAAATGGTGGCTGGCAACTATTTGATGCCCTGTTTTGATGTGTCTGAAGATACCTATAGTGTACTAATGAAAACAAATGAGTCCTTAAATAAAAAGAAAATTAATCTACAGGTTTAATGCATTTCCTATCAATATTCTAATTCTATCATTCACAGAATTAGGAAAAAAAATTGCCTTGTTGCTGGGGGAGACTCCTAGCTGGTCTGCACCTGTGAAGACACCATATCATGACCCATCCTAGAGGAGCCACTTAGAACAGCTGAGGATCCACTGTACTCAGAGCAGTGGAGGATCCACTGCACTCAGAGTATTTGAGTAAGCTCAACTCCCAAGAGCTCTAACACTCCCAGGAACATAGCTCTGCACACAATCCCACAACACCCAGAGGAAGCTATACTCCCAGGAGCTCCAACACACGCAAGATCTCAGGATCTCAGAATCACAGAGACAGCTGGATTCTGAGGAGTTCTGACACAATCAAGATAACAGGATAAACAGGCTCCAGTCAGAGACAGTGACTTCAGGTAGCACTAGAGATAACAAGATGGTGAAAAGCAAGCACAAGAACATAAACAACAGATATCAAGGCTATTTGGCATGATCAGAACCCAGTTCTCCCAGCACAGCAAGTCCTGAATACCCATCATACCAGAAAAGCAAGATTCAGATTTAAAATCACTTCTCATGATGATGATAGAGGACTTTAAGAAGGACATAAATAACTCAAAGAAATACAGGAGAAAACAGGTAAACAGGTAGAAGCCCTTAAAGAGGAAAAACAAAATCCCTTAAAGAATTACAAGAAAACACAACCAAAGTGTTGGAATTAAACCAAGGTGAAGGAATTAAACAAAACCATCCAGGATCTAAAAATGGTAGTAGAAACAATAAAAAAAAATCACAATGGGCGACTACCCTGGAGATAGAAAACCCAGGAGAGAGATCAGGATTCATAGATGCAAGCATCACCAACAGAATACAAGAGATAGAAGAGAATCTCATGTGCAGAAGATACCATGGAAAACATTAACACAACTGTGAAAGAAAATGCAAAATGCAGAATGCTCCTAACCCAAAACACCCAGGAAATCCAGGACACAATGTGAAAACCAAGCCTAAGGATAACACGTATAGATAAGAGTGAAGACTTCCAACTTAAAGGGCCAGTAAATATCTTCAACAAAATATGGAAAAAACTTCCCTAACCTAAGGAAAGAGAATTCCATGAACATACAGGAAGCCTACAGAATTCCAAGTAGACTAGACCAGAAAAGAAATCCCTCCCATCACATAATAATGAAAACATCAAATGCAGAAAACAAAGAAAGAATATTAAAAGCAGCAAGGGAAAAAAGTCAAGTAACATATCAAGGCATACCTTTAAGAATTAAACCAGATTTCCCACCAGAGACTATAAAAGTCAGAAGATCCTGGACTGATATCATACACACCCTAAGAGAACAGAAATGTGAGCCCAGACTACTATACTCAGCAAAACTCTCAATTACTATAGATGGAGAAACCAAGATATTCCATGACAAAACCAAATTTACACAATATGTTTTCACAAGTCCAGCCATACAAAGGATAATAGATGGAAAACTCCAGCATAAGGAGGAACATTATACCCTAGAAAAAGCAAGAAAGTAATCTTCCAACAAACCCAAAAGAAGATAACTACACAGACAATTCCACCTCTAATAACAAAAATAACAGGAAGCAACAATCATGTTTCCTTAATATCTCTTAACATCAATGGATTCAATTTCCCAATAAAAAGAAGTAGACTAACAGACTGGATATGTAAACTGGACCCAGAATTTTCCTGCATATAGGAGACATACCTCAGTGACAAAAACAGATACTACCTCAGAGTAAAAGGATGAAAAACAATTTTCCAAGCAAGTGGTCCCAAGAAACAAGCTGAAATAGCCATTCAAAAATCAAAGAAAATCGACTTTGAACCAAAGTTAATCAAAAAAGATAAGGAAGTACACTTCATACTCGTCAAGGGAAAAATCTATCATATGAACTCTCAATTCTGAATATCTATACTCCAAATGCAAGGATACCTACATGCATAAAAGAAATCTTACTAAAGCTGAAAGCACACATTGCACCTCACAAAATAATAGTGGGTGACTTCAATACCTCACTCTCATAAATGGACAGATCATGGAAACAGAAACTAAACAGAGACACAGTGAAACTAACAGCAGTTATGAAACAAACGGATTTAGCAGATATCTATAAAACATTTCATCCTAAAACGAAAGAACATAACTTTTTCTCAGCACCTCATGGTACTTTCTCCAAAATAGACCTTATAATTGATCACAAAACAGGCCTCAACAGATATAAAAAGCTTGAAATAATCCCTTGCATCCTATCAGATCACCATTGGACTAAGGCTAGTCTTTAATAATTACAAAACAATGGAAAGCCCACAAACACATGGAAACTGAACAACGCTCTAGTCAATGATGACTTGGTCAAGGAAGAAATACAGAAAGAAATGAAAGACTTTTTAGAATTTAATGAAAATGAAGGCACATCATACCAAAACCTAAGAGACATAATTAAAGCAATATTAAGGGGAAAACTCATAGCTCTGAGTGCTTACAAAAAGAAACTGGAGAAAGCATACACTAACAGCTTGGCAACACTCATGAAAGCAACAGAACAAAAAGAAGCAAATACACTCAAGAGGAGTTGCCAGCAGGAAGTAATCAAACTGAGGGCTGAAATCAACCAAGTAGAAACAAAAGCACTATACAAAGAATCAACAAAACCAGGAGTTAGTTCTTTGAAAAAATCAACAGGATAGATAAACCCTTTAGCTAGACTAACCAGAGGGCACAGAGACAGTATCCAAATTAATAAAATCAGAACTGAAATGGGAGAC